TGTCATTCAAATAATATAACAGAGGAATCGCCTCAAAGGTTTAGATGGTCTGCCTCCATTTCTCGTCTTCTGGCCATCCCCAGTAACAGCACAGGCTGGATAAATGTCATCATCGCACATAACATCTGGATATTTTCCACAAACTATAGGATCTGGTACAACTTTTCCACCAGCTAAATCGTTGCCTAGCAACAAAGAAATGCCGGGAAACGGGAAGAGTAGGTCGAACACCTACGATAACAGGCCAGTAATTAAATCTGACTTCAAACAAATTCTATGCAGGGGAACATCAATGACACCTAGCTCCACACCCTGTAATAAAACTGACCCACCAGTAGAAGTCTGCTCAGAAAAAAACACGCCCTCTAACAATAACGTCTGTGCAGCACCAGTATCTCTAAAAATCTGGACAGGTTTTATTTCGGAAAGTACCAGTGAAACAAATCCCTGAGACATAAAGGGCTTATAATCCTCCATAGAATCAATAGAACTGGACTGTGAACCCTGGACATAGGAGTGTCAGAACAAATCGAAACTAAGGCTTCTCTATCACCTCTAACTGCCGCACAAGCGTGTGGTTGATTTTATCAAAATCATTTTTTCTTTTAAGTTTAAAGATTCACTACGATCCCCTTTTCTTACAATAACTACAAGAGGAATCGCCCCTTTTCCCAAAAGAAGTCCTTAAAAACGTCCTGGCCCGGATTTAGAACCACCTTGGGATGGAGAGGGGAACTTGTAAAAGACGAGACCCTGCCCTTTTTTATATGTGTCTGAATTGGTAGAATTGCTGCTAGTCTGAGATCTTGATACAAAATTCTTTTTATGAAAACATAAGTATCAGATATGACTGCTGCCTCTTCAAAGTTTTAAATTCTTATTTCTAAATGTGTTTTCAAATCTTGAGAAACACATTCCTTAAACTTTCATAGGGATGTGCGATTTAATGGTATCCAATGCGATTTTTTGTTGATATGTATCGTGATATGGAGATAATTACCGGTATTTAGGTACATATTATAAAGTCCAGAAATTATTCATTTATTTGTTCAATCTTTCAAATTACAATTACAAAAAGAAAAAAAATGTTGTAAAAAGTGAAAAGAATGGTATCTTACCTAAAAAAATTGATTTTATATAGATGAAAATTTCAAGAAAGTAAAATTTTGTTTTTCTATCATATTTTTTAAAAAATAAGATTTTTTCATAAAAATATTGTAAAAACTGCTTTTAAAAGTATCTTGATATTATCGTGATATTTTAAAACGTGATATTGGATATGAAATTTCGGGCGATACCCATCCCTACTCTTTACCAGGATGATTCCAAATTAGGGTTTTATCAATTTTTAGTTTAAAACCAGTGATCGAATAAATCTTTTTTCTCTCGTGAAAATTCAAAAAATTTTTGATTATCAAACTTCCTATACTTTCTGAATTTTTGTCTATAGCTTCAGGTACTAATTCATATGCTTTTAAATTGCTGCTTTGACCTTCTCATAGTCTGAACCCCGCTACCCCTAGTGCAGATAACCTCAGCTGCTTTGCCAACCAGTACACTTTGTAACATTGTTGACCAAACGTGTTGTGGCCATTTAAGATTTTCTGCGACTTTCTCAAATTTGGGGGAAAATATTTGTCTACAGATTTTTCTTGAAATTTTGGAACTAATCTGATATTTTTTGCTGCGTCAAATTCATTCTTGACAAATGACGGTTCTGGTTGGTTTTGTAATTTTAATTTCTCTAATTCAAAGTTCATTTCACGCTCTTTTTCTCGCTCTTCTCTTTCTGCTGCTAATTTTTTAAATTCAAATTTTCGTTCACGCTCTCGTTCTTCTCTTTCTCTATCTCTTTCTCGCTCTTCTCTTTCAAATCGCATTTTCTCTAACTCTAATTGAAACCGATAGTCTGTCATTTTGTAAGAGCCCAACTCTGATCTATCTGTATATTCTGGAAGATCGTATTTTTCAAAGATGTTTTCTTCTACTAGTTTGTTTGCAACCTTAATTCTAATGTCTTGCTTTCTCTAGAGGTTTTAAACATTAACCCAAATGCAAAATTAAAAGGATAAATCATCCTTTTTTAACGTATCAAAAACCTGAACACTTGGGGAACTAAGAAAATTTGTGACCGAAAATAAAGGATTTTTGCTGGTTATAGTCAAATTTAACAAATTTAAATTTAAAAAAATTCTGACAATGAACTGCAAAAGTGCAAGAAATTCTTAAACCCAACCCCCAAATTTTGTTATGGGTAGAATAACCCTAAATGCCAGCAAAGATCAATCACACAAGTTTAAACTTAACAATAATTTATTTACAGTAATATACAAATCATTAAGTACAAACTTAGCAAAAATCTAAAAATACATACATCAGAGTGTCCGTTGCTGCACACAATGTCCCAGTGAAATTATATCCCAGTAATACCTCAATGATGCTTATACGACAATGTATCCACAATTATTTATGCATCGAATTGACAGGGTATTTATACAGTATCATAATTAGAATATTCTAGAAATTGTAAATACATGATATTCCTGAAAAGTTCTGCACATGAATAAAGTTCAAGAATGTTCTAGAAAAAATGACTAAACATATTGACCACTCTGGAATGTTCAAGAAACTTAATGTTACTAATAATATACATGATGAAATAATACAAATACAACACACCTCACAACACCCTAGACATGATTCTGTTGAATGATGTGCAGAATAACCATTTATTCTGTTGCCAATAATCTGTTTTTTCTGGGAGACGCAGTATTCCCATTGCAAAACACAGTCCGAGAAATGCCCTCATTTCATTGGATTCCACTGGAGTCCATTTTGCTGCATACGGTGGGGGAGGGTTTTTTTCGCGTTCCTGGTGAGCATAAATGTTCGTTTCATTTACTAATTTGTCAATGAGTTCATTTGTCCAAAATAGTTCAAAATATTGACCTGCTGATGCCTCTTCAGGGTGTTCTACAGTGGCCCCACCAACGTTTTTGTACCGATTCTGCATCCGGGGTTGGAAATTTTCCTTCACCCACTGGTGCTGAAAGCCGAGAAATTCTTCATCTTCGTCACTATCCTCGGCGAAAATATTCAAAATCCAGTCATCAACGTCTCCCTGGTTAACTTCACGATCAATATTTCCAGCTAAACATCCATATCCTCTTCATCTACATCGTATTGGCCCTCAATATCGCTACCATCGCTCAAATCTTCACTCGCTCCGCCATTTTGAAATCTTGCTCGCGTCTAAAGTTGATCAGTTTTCTTTGTTTCAACCAGGTTTTCCCCTCATAAATAAGTATCTAGTTTCACTTTTATGTGCGCATGATCAAGGTCTATTTCCGCTTTTCCTTAGTCTGTAAAATGTTTTAAACATCCGGGCTTTTCAATGGCATTTAAAGACCAAGTATGATGCAGGGTTCGAAACTACTACTGTAGTGGTAGTTCGCGATGTGAGAGGAATACGACTACAGACGTAGATCGCGGGGAATGGGTTAAACATCTTCTTCTCAAGAAAGACAAAGCCATAATTCAACATATTTATATGGAAGCATGCTCAAGTAGTGTAGATTCAAATTTGTTTCAAATTATTACCCTCAGGGTAGGCAGGGCGCCAAATGGTCACTAGTTTTAAAGATATATAGGAAAATTCTTTAAAAATCATTTTCTTAAATATAGCAAATCCATGATTGGTGATGGGTACTTTTGGATTTAAACTTTACAATAAAAGCCATTTTCTCTTTTCCCTATCCTTCAGTGCTCAGGTGAGCCATGAGTCCCATGGGCTTCTTGTGTTCAGAATAATAATAAAATAAAGTCATTTGTATTTTGAAATTTACTTTAGAAATAGAGCTACCTGTGATATTAAAAATGACTGTATTCATCCTTTTTTAGATCACCTGAGCCGAAGGCTCAAGTGAGCTTTTCTGATCACATTTTGTCCGTCGTCCGTCCGTCTGTCTGTCTGTCCGTCCGTCTGTAAACTTTTCACATTTTCGACTTCTTCTCAAGAACCACTGGGCCACTTTTATCCAAACTTGGTACAAAGCATCCTTGGGTGAAGGGGTGTTTAAATTTTTAAAATGAAGGGCCAAAGTCCCTTACAAGGGGAGATTATCAAGAAAAGACAAAAAAAAGGGTGGGGTCACTAAAAAATCTTCTTCTCAAGAACCACTGGGCCAGGAAAGCTGAAACTTATGTGGAATCATCCTTGGGTAGTGTAGATATTAAATTGTTTAAATCATGACCCCCGGGGGTAGGGCGGGGCCACAATAGGGAATCCAAGTTTTACATAGAAATATATAGAACAAATCTTTAAAAATCTTCTTCTCAAGAACCACTGGGCCAGGAAAGCTGAAACTTATGTGGAAACATCCTTGGGTAGTGTAACACGAAATTGTTAAATCATGACCCCCCGGGGTAGGGCGGGGCCATAATAGGCAATCCAAGTTTTACATAGAAATAATACAAATCTTTAAAAATCTTCTTCTCAGTAACCACTGGGCCAGGAAAAATGAAGCTTATGTGGAAGCATCCTTCTTTGTAGATATTAAATTCTTAAAATAAAAAGGGAAGGGGGTTGTTGGGCATGATAGGTATAGCAAGAGGGGGAATCTGGTAAAGATCTGCATCACCCAAGTTAATCAGGTGAGCGATGTGGCCCATGGGCCTCTTGTTTATCAAATTGTTAGGTCTGGGCACATCTAATTATCTCTTTTGTTTTACAGGGCGCACTAAATTATTTTGGTTTCAATTACTTGTCAAGATGTTTCTCTACACAAGGGTCTTTGGCAGCATAGTGTACTATATCTTATTACTGTAGTAAATGGGTTGGAAAAATTTACTTGGGAATGGAAATATGATGAAAAGAAGTATATTTACAAAATAAGAAGAATGTGTACATTAGATATATACTTAGACATTTTTAAAAATGATGGATTTCAGTCACACCCCTGACTGGTAGTCACTGCAGTTTTGTATTGATTTGTTTACAGGATGGGATATGCAGGAAGTGATTGGAACAGCTATAGCATTTTACCTGTTATCCGATGGAAAGTAAGTTTTTCTTATTTACAACACAAATCTGATTCATTCATGATGAACATACATGTGTTACTTTTGAAATACAGTTTTACTACTATACATGATATATAAGCTAATTTAGCTAAAAGTCAAGTGAACTTTTCTTATCACTCTTCTGGTGTCTGTCTGTTGTCTGCCTGTCTGTCAATCTGTCAATCTGTCTAGCTGTCAATCTGTCTGGCTGTCAATCTATGTGTATGTCAATCTGTCTGTCTGTCAATCTGTCTGCCTGTCTGTCAATCTGTCTGTGTGTCAATCTGTCTGCCTGTCTGTCAATCTGTCTGTCTGTCAGTCTGTCTGCCTGTCTTTCAATCTGTCTGTCTGTCTGTCAATCTGTCTGTCTGTGAATCTGTCTGTCTGTCAATCTGTCTGCCTGTCTGTCAATCTGTCTGTCTGTCAATCTGTCTGTCTGTCTGTTTTGGCTGTCTGTCAATCTGTCTGTCTGTCTGTCTGTCTATGAATCTGTCTTGCTGTCTGTCTGTCAATCTGTCTGTCTGTAAACATTCCAACTTCTTCTGGAGACTGAGGGAATGTGACTGAAATATTGCTGACTCAGCATTACACATTACATGTAAACAATTTTTCAGACACAAAAAAAATGTGCAATTTTAAACAAACTATCTAAGAAACATTCTTGGGTTAAAGGGGATTAAATCCTTAAAATGGAGGACCAAACTCCCTTCCAATGGAAGATATTAAAGAAAAGGCCAAAAAAGGGGAGGGGAAAAAAAAAATCAGAATCTTAACTTCTTCAAAATTCACAATAACAACTGGGCAAAAAAAGCTGAAACTTATTTGGAAGCATCCTAAACATGCTAAAGACAGAGAAAATTAGTGTAGATTATAAATCGTTGAATTCATGGCCCATGGGGGGAGGGGGGAAACTTATTCCATGATTCCTTTATATTTTTCCCATGGGATTTCCCACACAAAATATTGCTAGTACTGTAAGTTTCTGAATTTAAAAATTGTTTTTTTTTTATTTCGTCCTACAGGATACCTTTGTATGCGGGCGTGCTGATCACTATCGCGCACCTTTTCCCTTTCCCTTTTCCTGGACAAGTAGGTTCGTCTGGGCTTTTTTGCATTCCTTATCTTCATCATGGCTGTCACATTTGGATACAGGTAAGAGGTTAAACCATCATCTCGGGTCTTTCCATCAGAGGGGGAAAAAAACCTCGAATATATTAACCATCGGATGTTAAAATTTATACATTTCCTATTTATTAAAAAAAGGATAGACCGAGTAACCGTTTTTTTAACCCCTTAAAATGGGACCGGTTCAATTTAGAAAAGTAACATAGAAGAAAAACAGGAGAATTTTTTCTCATTTATGCAAATGCAACCATTTTGGGTTTTTTCCAAATTAATTACTTTTTACTTCTTGTTTTAAAGAATAATTATCAGCAACAAGTACTTATTTTTTTTATATCAAGTCCCGTTTTCACATTTTTATGCTTTCAATTTGTCAAAATGTATCACACTACGATGTTTAACCACAGGTCGCGGCCATATTATGACTCTCTCTACTTTCGATTTTAAACGGAAGTGAAACAATTAATCAATTTTTACAATGTTTTGTTTAACAAGAAATACGATGTCGTCATGGTCTGTTGCATCACAGTTGAATTGAGAATTTTTAGTCACAGAATTGGGGAAAATTAACATTTTTTGGCATTGGGAATGGTGCCGTTTACGGTACCAGTTATATAAGGAAAAAAACGCTGAATAAAAGTCCCTTCTATAGTATATTTTAAGTAACATCATTAATACATTGAATAAAGTTAAAATCCATCTTCCACAGGTAAAAGGTTTTTTTAAATACTCCAATTTATGTACATGTACAGTACTCAACTATAGGCACATTTATTTATTATTATTTTGAACATTGGTTGTTGTGTGTCTATTAATGCTCTTGATTGTTTACAGTATGTAATAGATAGGCCTGATCTGCCCTCCCTACTTAAGGGATGTTTATTACGTACTGTTTTATCTGTTTACAGTATGTAATAGTTAAGCCTGATCAGTCCTCCCTCCTTACATGTAAGGGGATGTTTATACCGTACTGTTTTATATGTTTGTCTGTATGTAGTATGTAATAGTTAATCCGGATCAGACCTCGTTACTTTAGGGGATGTTTATTCCGTACCGTTTTATCTATTTACAGTATGTAATAGTTAAGCCTGATCAGCCCTCGTTACTTTAGGGGATGTTTATTCCGTACCGTTTTATCTATTTACAGTATGTAATAGTTAAGCCTGATCAGCCCTCGTTACTTTAGGGGATGTTTATTCCGTACCGTTTTATCTATTTACAGTATGTAATGGTTAAGCCTGATCAGCCCGCCCTACTTAGGGGGATGTTTATTCCGTACTGTGAGGATTGCGGGCCGGAGCAGGTTCTTCAGGCCGTGGGGATTATAGGAGCCATCATCATGCCTCACAACATCTACCTCCATTCTGCCCTCGTCAAGGTGTGGACCTCTTCATTAAAATCTTAATAAACAATATGGCACAGAGTTTATGCTAATAACTTAGAAAAATCAGGCATTTTTTGTTTATCTGTTTCTCTCTAGACTTTAATTCCCTTATTTTTTCCCCCATTTAATAGCTTTTTCTAAATTCCTTCTTAAGAGGCCATGCCAATAAGCATTGAGCTTCACCTTATATAATCATGGAAAGTGGAAAAATTTATTTCTTGCTCAAATTTTGTGAACATGATGCATATGATTAGTCTTTCAAAAAAATTTATCTACCCGGGCATATGACCTCTTGTTTCCATGGCAACCAGAGTATTTTGTTATACTTATCAGAGAAATATGTGAACTGGCCTATCCTGTTATAATTCATATATTTGACCTCAAAACTCTAGGTATAATTTAATAATGTGGGTCATAAAGTGCTTTGAACTATATTTCTCTATTTTATAAGTAAAATTTAATGTGTGCTTAATTTTATTAAGATTTTACCGGTAGAATTATATCCCATAAAGAGCTAAGTGGTTTGCAAATGCTGTGCAGCTTTAAAAATTTCTATATATATCTGTAGAAGGAGAATGTTCTGTTCAATATATTAAATAAATAAAATTGGGTAGACTCTTAAAACCTTAAGTAAAATATCAGATTGAATTGTTGGAAAACTCTGTTGAAAAACGATTTGATTGCCTCCCTTGCACGAGCTCTCTAGTAAAGAAGACCGGAAAGAATGGAACAGACAACAATTGAGGAAATGCGGGAGAAAAGGGAAAACTTCCAACTTGAAAAACTTGGACAAAAACATGTAATGGTATGTTAAATATATATTTTTCATGTAAATTTTTGGGTAAACTTTGATAACTTTATATATTTAAAGCAAGAGTAAAGATTAGGAAGGTACCTCAAGATTAATTTTTCTATCCTATGATGTGATACAAATATTGAGTGTTGCAACGAAGTTACTGCCTTACAGGTATTAAATTAAAAGCAACCTGTTATATTACCACAAATGTTTTATTCTGTAGTTGTTAAATTACTCCTAATACAATTAAAGATAGATAAATGCTAATAATGAAATTTAAAATAATTTTATGCCTATGCTATTTGTGTATTAAACTGTTAAAGAGATCATGAGGGCACACTGCTGGAAATTAAGACTAATGTCCCTAATATATACACACATAAATCATTTTAACCCACCTTCTCCCCCATTTATAAATCAGAGTTTCAAAACCTAAACTATGTCCAAATCTTAGTTTTAATTAGTCTTTCATAACATCAGTGGAACAAACTGACAAATATACTTATATAGACTTATTTGCCAAATGAGTAGGGAATGGTACATAAACAATTCAATGTGGAAAAATAGCATCAAAGTTATATATTTACCTTTATTAGGTCACCTGAGTAAACTCAGGTGACCTATTGCTATCTGTTTTCGTCCGTCGTCGTCCGTCGTTCGTCGTCCGTCGTGTGTTAACATTTGAACATTTTCAGCTTCTTTCTGCAACCACTGAACCAATTTCAACCAAATTTGGCATATAGCATGTATGGGTACAGGGGAACAAAAATTGTGAATTTCATGGTCCTTGCCCCCCTAGGGCCCGAGAAGTGGGGCCAAAACCACTAAAATTAATGCAATCTTTAAAATCTTCTTCTTTACTCCTGGACATCAAACAGTCAAATTGTTTCCATCATTGTAATCAGCATTGAGTCCTTTACCAAAATTGTGAAATTCATGGCCCTAGGGTCAGGGGTTCTAGTGCTAGGGCGGGCTAAA